CCCCGCCCTGGCCCATGCCACACTGAGGTGTGTGCTCCGAAAGGAGTTTGCCACTTTTCCTCCTATGTGTGTGTCACTGTGCAAGCGCCCCAGGGCCTCCATGCTCGCTCTGGCCACAGAAAGCAAGGCTTGGTGCCTCTCTGGCAGAGGGAGTGGGCTTGGAGTAGGTAGACCCACCACGTTATGCAGTCTGCTTCCTGTTCAGCATGGCGCACAGCAGCTGAACACGGTTAAACGCGTGAACAACAATTATTGGACATAGTTAGGCTACCCAAAGTAGTGTTAAACCGCAGAGGAAATGTGTATTCAAGCCCGAGCGGAACGGCCTGGGTGGGCCTGGTCTTGATGTTCGTGTCAGGGGAGAGGGGAGGGGGAGGGATATAGGTGCGGGAGAGGGGGAGACTTGTGGGTGGCGATGTACCGCCAGCGCATGGCAACTCCAAAACAAACTTACTCGGCGTAGTAGTTACAGGCAACGGCGTGTCTCCCACACTCCCCGGCCCCGCGCCCCTCGGCTGGGGTTCCGTCGCTGCAGTGTTGTGTGGGAGTCGGCTGCATACAGCAGTGCATTGGGGCGAGAGAGTGTGACAGCACAGGATGAGGCTGGTCACCCCTGAACAGCGCGGGATTCGGCAGCGAGCGCTCTACCGGCGGCTCTACCAGGAGGCACGCCGCAAACTGCAGGCAGAGGTAAAAGTGTGACCACACTGTGGCCACAGCCACACTGTGCTCGCTTGCGCCTCCTGCTTGAATAACAATCGGTTCTCCGTTTGGTAGGACTTTCTGGAGCGGCAGCGTGCGTGGGCGCACACTGACTACGAGACTTCCTACGAGGAGCACCACGGCAGACCCGGGTTCGAACCCGCTCTAGAGAGACAGGTAATAGTGTGAACAAAGACTCCACACACTTGAGAGTTGAGGCGCCACATTGACACTTTCGTCACAAACAAACGGAAATTGCGAACGACTCTGTCTGATAGATGAAAAGGGTCATTGTGGTGGTGGTACGTCGACTTATCGACTTCTACCGCTTCACGGTCACGGCAGATTTTAACTGGCTGACAAACGTTAAAACGTAAAAGTCAGTCCTGTCTGAAACGACCACCTAAAAAAGGGGGTTGCCTCGGGGACATTTTGTAGTCCATCATGAATCTTCACATTAAAAGTTTGTCCCTTCCGGGTTCCATCCATCAATATCGTGGTGCAATTATATTTTAGCTGCGGGAGGGCGCTGCCGCCGCCGAGCTTCACCCGCTGGACGAGTCGGAGCCGGTGCTCTCTCTGTGGTACTGCCGGCAGCGGGCGGGGGCGGCGGGGGCGGCCGGGGCGCTCACGAGGGTGTCTCCGCCGCACTGCGCGTCGCAACCCTTCCGGCGCACGTCCGCCTTCACCACGCCCCCGCACCTCAGCCTGCACGACTCGCCCGCGGAGCGCCCCGCCGCCCACGCCGCCGCCGCCCCCGCACGAGCCCGGCTTGACCTTTTGGACCGGCTGCAAGCGCAGGGCTGGGGGTGCGGCTGGGGCGGCGGCCCCACCCAGCACCGCTACCCACTGGCCGATGTCTTCTGCGACGCGGGCAGGAAGAAGAACTGGTGCGACCGGCACGAGGATCCCATCAGAGTCGAGGGCGCCTCCACCACCAGCTGAGCGGAGCCAGAGGTGAGAGGAGGAGACAGAGAGAGAGGGACAACGAGAAAGATACACCGGGGG